CCAACGATGAAGCCCGTTGGAGAAGAACTGCGGGCCGCGAGGCAGGGACTTGTTTGCAACGGGTCGACGAGGGGACCACGGGAGGAGGGAAAGGCCCGAGTTCCGACCACTCGGTCGACGCGACGCCGCACCGCAGCTTGAACTCGTAGGCGTCGCGAGTGCCGAGCGGCGCCGAGGCCCGGTGAACGCTCAGTCCCGTGACAAACGGGCGGCCCTTCACCGACGCACACGACAGGTGCTGCTCCGCCAGCGTCTCGGCGGGAAAGGCCAAGCCGAACGGCCCGAGCGTCGCGGCGAGGGAGAGGGCCGACTGTAATGGCGTGGACGCGAACGACATAAACCCGCCCGCTTTTTTTTTGAGCTGCAATACCTACACCTCGAACACTCACACGTCATTTGGGGCCTGCTTTCCATGAAATGAAACAAACGCAAGCCGGACATTGGGCATATCGCTCTCGGGCCCACAGACATCCCGCACACCCGCCGCCCCCCGCGCGCCCCACCCCGGCCGGGAGAAAGGGGAGTGACAGTTTTTCGGCGAAAATACATCGAAACGTGAGGAAGAGGGCGGGTCTCAGCTCTCAGGCATCAATCAGCGCCTTCACGTGCGCTCGGACGCTCCGGTCGAGCCTCTCGACGTTGTAGCCTCCTTCGAGGACGCTGATGATTGGCAGCGCGCCGCGGCCGATCTTTGCGACCTCGGCCGTGATCCAGGCAAAGTCGGCGTCGCTCAGCCGGCAGCTCGAGAGCGGGTCCTCCGCGTGCGCGTCGAAGCCCGCGCTCACGAAGATGGCCTCAGGCTGGAAGGCGCGCACCGCAGGGAGGAGCTCGTCGCGCCACGCGCGCCGAAACTCGGCCGAGCCGGACGAGGAGCGCAGCGGCGCGGAGAGGATGGTGCGGTGGCGCCCCGTCGCCCCGCGCTCCTCGCCCGTGCCCGGGAAGTTTGGCACCTCGTGGGAGGCCCGGCGGGTCATCTCGCGCCATCTCGCGCCATCTCGCGCCATCTCGGGCCATCTCGCGCCATCTCGGGCCATCTCGCGGCCATCTCGCGCCATCTCGCGGCCACCTCGTGGGAGGAGACGTACAGCCTGGTCGGGTCCGGCTCGGCGATGTCGGCGTCGCCGTTCCCGTGGTGGACGTCAAAGTCGAGGATGGCCACGCGCCTGAAGGAGGAGGGCTGACCAGCTTCCGGGAAGGTTCCAGGAGGCGGCAGAGCCGCGGATCGCCGCACACCCGACTCCGTGTACCGCCTGAGGTTGGGGCGGCGAAGTGATGAGCATGCCGGCTACT